TAAGTGATTTAGCTTTATTAATAAGTAATGGTAGCTTTCATGCTCTTATGGTCCTGAGTTCTAAGATTTTGCTATACTTGAAGCAATTTTGTTGTTATTTTCTCTGGGAGGTTCACAGTATTCACGGAGTGACTTCTTTTTCTCTCTATAAAAGTGCACAAAAGATAAAAAGAAAAAATGAATTTCTAAAATCAATATGATATAGAAGGAGAAGTAATAAACTATTCATTGGAACAGAAGCAAACTAGTCCCAAACCTGATCAGGTAGGAGTATCTAAGAATGATAGTTTTAGGTAATTCTACATTATATTTTCCATTGCCTGCAAAAAGTAGTTAGAAATATATTGTTAACATACATTGAAATATAAATTATTACTAGCTCTCTTCAATCCCCGAATTTTCAATAACTGCTGGTGGCTGTAAAAGGCTTTCTACAGCACTCTCTAATCTCTGTCCTGCTTTTAAGGGATTGAGTCTGGGTACACTAGGTCACGATGGTGGTCATTTTTATTATTATATTTGTCAAAAGCAAAAGTATTCATTAAACTCAGATGACTTAAACAAGGGAAGGTCTACCACTCTTCTCTAAGAGGAAATAATGAATGTGAGGCCTAATGCTTAAGGCTCAGGCATTGACTTTACACTCCGGATTCATCACTTAAACTAGTTGAGTGAGCTTGGGAAAATTACTTAAACTCTCGGTGCCTGAGCCTCCCATGTATAAAACGGGGATAATGCTAAAGCATATTCAGGTATCAGCTCTGAGAATGAAAAGCATTGAATGCATCTAAAGTACTTAGAACAGTGCCACACATGTTAGCTATGATGGCTACAGGAATGATATTCCTGTGTGTAAAGATAGATCTCTAGCTAATGGTAGCTCTAAGGAGCAGTCATGTTCTTAGGAAGCACCTCACTGTTCCTGCTTTTGTCCTGTGGTTGTTAAGCATCTGAGTTTTGGAGTACAGCCTAGAAAGAAACAAAGAGACTCTGATGCTGGAGCTCGGAAAGAGAGGTAATAGGTGGATAAACAACTCATGCTGATGACTACAGACTGCTTCTCAGTTTGGGTTAGCTTTATGGTTTTCTATAGTGGCCCTGACAACTTATTGATTACTCATTAGTCAAGATTTAAAAATATATTTTATTGATTTCAGAGAGGAAGGGAGAGAGAGAGAGAGAGAGCGAGAGAGAGAGAGAGAAAAGAGAGAAACATCCATGATGAAAGAGAATCACTGATCGGTTGCCTCCTGCATGCCCCACATTGGGGATCGAGCCCACAACCCGGGCATGTGCCCTTGACAGGAATCGAACCTGGGACCCTTCAGTCTGCAGGTTGACGCTCTATCCACTGAGCCAAACTGGCTAGGGCACTCTTCCAGTCTTTAGCAACACAAAAGTGGTGTTTGTATCAGCTATTAATCTGATGTGAAAGATCAAGGGGATCTGGATTTGGCCGCTGCTTTTCCAGGAGCAGTGTCAGAATGGGAGGGGACCCCAGAGGTTGAGATAACAGGGGGCCCTGAATCTGGGGGTGCTATGATTCTGACATTATCATTTGCTAAGACATTTGCCTATTATCTTTGGAGTGAGACTGACCACCACTTCACAGTCACTAGGGCAAAGGGCAGGTTGCCATGTGATCCTAAGAGATTATAATGGCCAGATTTCAAGTTTGTGTGTGTGTGTGTCAGGAAGGGCAAACATTTGAAACAGAGGCTTTATGGAATTTTACATTATACTAAACAAATCCTCAAGCAATAAGTTTTCAAAGTATAGAATTTTGAATTGAAATTTTAAGTTAATATTCTGATAGTGCAGAAACGGAATTTCGGTTCATATGCAGGCGTCACTAATTACCATGCAATTGTGGGCATGCTAGTTTACCTCTCTCTGCCTTGGTTTCCTCATTGGTAACATGTCAGTAATAATACCTATAAACTAGTTTTGTGATGGTGAAGTTAGATAATGTATATAAAGCCCTTAGTAAAGAGTCTACTCTAGCTCATGGTAAGTGGTCAAAAATGGTAGTCATACTGTTTTTTGTTAAAGTTTTAAAATTCTTTTATATATCTAAATCTTACCTTATAAGTAAGATTGTAGGTTTCTTCTTTAGGGCAAGGGTTGTGAGTCTTGTTTATTTTAACTAGTGTATCTGGAACAAATCTAGGAATATAATAGATGCTTAAGTAATATTTACTAGTGTGAACTGAGGTGAGTTTGTGATCACTCCCAAAATACTTGCTTTAAAAGAGGGAATAAATATTGCTATATAATTATGTATTCCAGCATTCATTTTAACCAAATCATCTTTTGCTTTGCTATGGTGATTTGGGACCAACTTGTGGCAACCTGAGTGTGTGTGTGGTTGTGAGTGTGACAGGGAGTGGGGAGGCTGGTTGAGGTGATGTCAATGGATTCTCTAAGGCACAGAACTAGCCTGCAGCTCACCATCCTGACCATTGCCTCTAGCTTTCCTCCTGCAGCCCGAGCTGGGCTGTTTATGTGCTCAGAGCAACTGTTGTGGCCGGACTCCCCTGGGCAGGGCTGCTCAGGCCCTTTCCCATTCTTCTAGGCTGCCTTCACTACAAGAGGAAATGAGATATTTTCCTTTTAAATATTGTTTAGTTTATTATTTTTATTGAGGTCTAATGGATATATAACATTATGTTAGTTGCGGGTACACAATGTAATGATTCGATATTTGTATATATTGCAAAATGACCACCACAATGTCTAGTTAACATTTGTCATCATACATAGTTACAGGATTCTTTTTCTTGTGATGAGAACTTTTAAGATTTACTCTCTTGGCACTTGTATACTTACAATACAGTATTGTTCACTGTAGTCACTATGCTGTACATTATATCCCATGACTTATTTATTTTATAATGGGACAGTTTGTACCTTTGAGCCCCCTTTGCTCATTTCACCCACCCCCCCAAACCTTTCACCTCTTGTAACCACCAATCTTTTCTGTGTATCTGTGAGCTATTTATTTTTCAGATTCCAAATATAAATGAGATCATATGATATTTGTCTTTGTCTGACATATTTCACTTAGCATAATGTACTCAAGGTCCACCCATGTTCTATTATAGATATCACGTTTGCTTTATCTATTCATCTAGTGGTGGACACTAAGGTTGTTTCAGTGTCTTGGCTATTGTAAATAATGCTGCGATTTGAACATGGGGATGTATATATTTTTCAAATTAATGTTTTCATTTTCAGGTAAATAACCAGGAGTGGAATTGCTGGATCACATGATAGTTCTATTTTTAGTTGTTTTTTTCTGAGGAACCTTCATCCTGCATGCCATAGGGGCTGCACCAATTTATATTCTTACTAACAGTGTATGCGGGTTTCCTTTTTCCACATCTTTGCCAATACTTGTTATTTTTTGATAATCACCATTGCAACTGGTGTGAAGTGATATCTCATTGTGGTTTTAATTTGCATTTCCCTGATAATTAGTGATGTTGAGCATCTTTTCATATATTTGTTGGTCATTTGTATGTCTTTTTTTTTTTTTGGAAAAATGTCTTCTCAGATCTATTTTTAACTTGGATTTATTTTTGCTGTTAAGCTATATGGGTTCTTTATGCATTTTAGATTAGCCCCTTATCAGATATATGATTTGCAAGTATTTTCTCTCATTCAGTAGGTTGCCTTGAAACAAGAAAACACAAGCAAAGAGACAAAGTCTTTTTGAATTCCCACTCAGACTTCCCTGCCAGTGCATCATGCTTTGCAAGAGACAATTGCCCTGGCTGTATAGAGTCCTGTCAAAGTGTTCAAGTTCAAGCAGCAAATTCAGGATAGTGATTACCTCTGAAGATAGAGGCAAGGGCATAAGCTCTGATAGAGGGCGTCAGTTGTATCTAAAATGTTATATTTTTATGCAGGGCTATGGGGTATGTCAGTGTTCATTTTGATATGATATATGCTATTTATTGTATCAGATATTGTATTGTCATGGATATTATATTATGTTGAGTTTTCTATCATTTTTATGTCTATATTATATATAATAATACTGTATTTTTGAATATTTTCAGATTTTATATGTGTGGAATTATCAGGTTTTATGTTCCCTTTTAATACCTATTTTTTGCTTGAATTTTTTTGAGATTTGTTCATATTAATATTCCATTTTATAAAGAGATCATTGAGGTATCCTTTCTGCTACTGATGGACATTTAGACTGATTCCTATTTTTCACTCATAAAACACTGCTATAACAAATCCAATATATAGTTCCTTGTGCCCAATGCAAAATATATTTCGAGGTAGACTTGCTAGCCGATAAGGCATATACACCTTTCACTTTGCTAGGTATTGTCAGAAGGATTCTTCTGCTTTACTTTCCTACTAGTGGTGTATGTGAGCTGATGTTGGCCCACATCTTTCTTAGTTCTTGGTAGCATACTCCAGGCTTTTACTTCTCTCGCCAGATCCCCAGAAAAGATGGGAGAGGAATGAGGAAGAGGGAGGGCAAGGTTCTACTATTAGGTGGAGAACGTCAGCTCTGAGGAATATCCTGTTACATTTATTTTAATGAGCAAAAGTCTTTATTCTCTGTTTTGGTGAAAATAATGTTAGACTTCTATGGGATAACTTATATTTTTACTCTGAAGTAGAGGAGGTTCCCTCCCCCGCCCCGTTTTCACTCTTTGCAAATATGCCAATTAGCAGACTAATGTTCTAAATGTTCACTTGTGGTAATAGTTATTTCTAAATGTTTTAAATAGCATGGAGCATTGGGTTTATTCTTATTGCTTTTCAAAGTTTTGAATTTGTTACAATGAATTGAATTTAAAATGTGACACAACTTTGTGGGGAAAGATTGATCATAATTATTTGTCACTCTAATACACATTTTGTACTGGGAAAAATCAATGACAGAAAATGTGTTTGCCTTTTCAGACAAATAAGAAAAATCTTAGTGAATAAGCTTGGTCATTTTATGTTGTCTCTTGTGTTCACAGGTGGGAGAGGATAAGTACAAAAGAGTGTTGGTGTCTGAAGTTCAGCATGGAAGACGTGAGATGTTGCCTTATGGGCCAAAGAAGAAGCCTAATCACAGTGCATATCCTTCAGGAGCGGAAAGTACACTACCAGCCTGGGTAGCTTTTGATAAACACGTAAGTCACATACCATGGGGAGAGGTGCAGTCTTAAAATGTGATGTGTACTAAATATTAAGTAGACTTGAGAAAATCAGAATCCTCAACGTCAATGTTAAGGCTAGTTGTTCTCAAAAGACACACTCAAGAACAAAGTATCCTAAACAAAGAAACAAACCAATGGTGCAGGACACCAAATGTTCACCTTTCTTGGCTAATGCTTATCAACCTTTCTTTTTTAAAATTAATTTATTGTTTTCAGGTATAGTTTACATTCAATATTATTTTGTATTGGTGTCAGGTGTACTCATAGTGGTTAGACAATCATATACTTTACAAAGTGTTCCTCCTGATTTTCCAGTCCCCACCTGGCACCATACAGTTACTACAATATCACTGACTGTATTCCCTACTCTGTACTTTATATCCCCATGACTATTTTGTAATTACCAATCTGTACTTCTCAATTCCTCTACTTTTTTTCACGCAGTCCTTCAACCCCCTCCTCTCTGGCAACCATCAGTCTATTCTCTGTGTCTATGAGTCTGTTTCTGTTTTATTTGTTCATTTATATTGTTTTTTTTCAGATTCCACAAATAAGTGAAATCATATGGTATTTTATCAACATTCCTCTCATCTCCTCTCTAAGATTTTCTTCTATAGATTCTAAGAGTCTGGTTAGGCTTTCACTTTTGCTTAGAGTTGCCATTAACTAAATAATTTTGTTTGATTTTGAATGTCCCTTTAGATAGCAACAGAAAGATGCCTTCTCTTCTTTTCTCCATACTAATTATGATCCCCCATCCCTGAGAACCAAAGGGTGCCATGGCAAGGGGTGTAGATGAGACAGAAAGAGGTACTATTATTAGAGAAGAGTCTGAACTTCTTAATGTGTATATTTATATATACTGGCATATTGACAGTTGACAAAGGTAATCCATTTGAATATCTTAAAAAGGGACTAAGATCAAAAGGAAAAAACCCCAAGGTGACCAGTCATTTCTCATTGCTTTATTTATTGACAACCCTGTTCACTGCCCCATGTTCTGTTCTCCAAATCAGAGCCTGTTATTAAATTATTTAGGTCCTGTAATTAAAACATAATTCAGGACTAGATAAAGAATTCAAACGCTAGTATGCTGTTTACCAGGCGGTTTGTAACATGGGTTGGTTGGCAATACTTCGATTCCATTGAAAATGTTTTCAGATTTGGTAGAAGTGACATATCCTATGCCATCAGATTAGGGCTCATCACTTTGAGCACATATTTTTTGAAGGTCAGTTCTGACACTTATGGAGATCTATCAGACTGTAGGGAAGCTGCTTTCTTGGGAAACCATCTCTACTTTGAACATGAACCAATACTTCTCTCTCTTAAAAAACTATTTTCAGTACCTGGCTCAGTGCTGGACCCAGAGTTCAGAAACAATTTCTGGGCTAATGTACTTGGGTGGATCATTTATGATTTTCTGTTAATATCAGCCTTATAGGTGGTTTGCACCCCATCATTCTAGAATATTTAATTTGCAAGGGCCAAAGAAAAGATTCTACTTTTACTTCTTGTGTCAAAAAGACATTTATGGATCATTTATGATTTTCTGTTAATATCAGCCTTATAGGTGGTTTGCACCCCATCATTCTAGAATATTTAATTTGCAAGGGCCAAAGAAAAGATTCTACTTTTACTTCTTGTGTCAAAAAGACATTTATGGATCATTTATGATTTTCTGTTAATATCAGCCTTATAGGTGGTTTGCACCCCATCATTCTAGAATATTTAATTTGCAAGGGCCAAAGAAAAGATTCTACTTTTACTTCTTGTGTCAAAAAGAGGATTATTTACAATAGTTGAAACTAATCCACTACTGAATAAGTACTGTTGTAGGTCACAAAATATTTATCTATTCTCTTGAATTTAAAGTTGAATATTCCTTTTATTTTATGTTTTTCTCAATATGTAATATGTTCCTTGCAAGCTTATTTTGCAGCCCTTTAGTTACTTATAAAATTATGTAGAATATTTCATGAAGTTGGAATAATTTTAGCTTCTAAGTACTTGAGAAAATGAAGAGCTTGCTCATTTCAAGCCTAACTAAATGCAACATAATTCTTTCAGTTATTTTATTGGTCAACTTCAATTAAATATTCATTGAGTTTTAAATGAGACACTAAGACTATGAAATATTTACATGCTATGATGAGATTGTGAACTACAGACTGGATCCTGGTTAATACCCTTAGCAAATTATAAAGCACTTTCTAGATTCGTGGTTCAACAAAACAAATCAACACCTGTTAATCATTTTTCTTAAAAATGAGACATTTTCAACTTGTTGCCAGTTTTTCCAATAGTTTTTAATCATAGCAATATATCCAGGGTTACATTCTCAAACAGTCCAAAGTAGAAATAAAGGCAGTTCCTTGGAAAGTGTATAAAAATTAATATTTGTAGTGGATGCTCTTGGCACCCATCCAGATCCACATTAAGGGTAGGGCATCTGCCTTCCCCAAATGAAGCAAGTGCTTTGGCAAACAGTTTACATTTGTAACTCTCTTATGGAGTGTTGCTGTTGGCCAATGGGCATTGCATCACTCAGAGAAGCCTGGGAGGTTACACTGGCCCCTTTACCACAAGAAGGGGCAGCAAATGGTTGACTGATTTGTCAAGGGTAAAGAGCTTGCTTCTTCAAGGTGGCACCTCTTTGTTCTGATACAAGAGGCCCATTGCACAAAATTTGTGCACTCGTGGAGGGAGGGTTCCTCAGTCCAGCCTGCACCCTCTTGCAGTCCAGGAGCCCTTGGGGAATGTCCGACTGACAACTTAGGCTCGCTCCCTGCCTAAGCTGTCAGTTGGACATCCGTAGCGCTGCTGCAGAGGCGGGAGGGGCTCCTGCCACCACCGCTGTGCTCACCAGCTGCGAGCCTGGCTTCTGGCTGAGCAGTGCTACCCCTGTGAGAGCACACTGACCATCAGGGGCAGCTTCTGCATTGGGTGTCTGCCCCCTGGTGGTCAGTGCACCTCATAGTGACTGGTTGTTCCACCGTTTGGTCTATTTGCATATTAGCCTTTTATTATATATGATGGCAGGCTCATAGTCCCTGTGCATCCAGCCAAAGCCAGACTTCACATGAGAATGCATCCTTGCTTGGCTGCTCCCCCTCACTCCCTTCCAGGTTTCTCCTAAGAGTATGTCCATAACAAATCACATGCACCTAAATCTGTTTCAAGCTCTGCTTCTGTGGAGCCTAGCCTCAGACACATCCCAGTTTTTATCCATAATTCTAAAAGTGACCACCAAAATGCTGTGTTCAGGCTGACCATCAAATTACAAGCAGAGAAGATACTATTTGCAGTCACCCAAAGGAGCCATTATTATCCTATATGGCCCCTATGGCAGACATTTCTAGCTGTTTATCTTTTATTCTCCGACCCCTCCTCATCTCAGGGAGAGAACACCAGTTTTATTCAGGCTGGAGATGTGACCACTTACAAGTGTTCACTGCCCCAGGCTACTTGCAGCTAGGCACGCCACATGACTCACTCTGGCCAGTGATATATGAGTTAAGGTTTATTGGGTGTGGCTCCTGCAAATGTTTTTTTTAATTAAAAGAGTTAGGCTCAGCTGACAATTTTTCACGCCCTTTGCCCTACCTTTGTTTTCCTGTCTGGAACTAGGACATAATTCCTCAGGGCACAGCAGCCACCTTGTGAGCACTGCCAATATAAAGGAGATCTAGGGCTCTGCTACCATCATGGAGCCACTATTTCCAGGCCCAGGCTGTCTCTCCCTGGACTTCTTGTTACATGAGAAAAAAATCAATCCCTATTTCAGAGATTCTCATCCCAAGGAGGCCTTTAGAAATGTGCGAAGGTGTTTGGGGTTGTAACAATGACTAGGAGCAGCACTGGACTAGATGAGGTGAATGAGGCACTTGCCTTGGGTATAAAATTTAAAGGGCAACCCAAAACTCAGTAATCAAGCCAGATAATATTGTAATGAAATATAAAAATCAAAATTAATGCAAAAACTTCATGATGAACAAAATGCCAACTTCAATATGGTTTTATTGATTTCAGAGAAGAAGGGAGAGGGAGAGGGAGCTATAAATATCAATGATGAGAGAGAATCATGGATCAGCTGTCTCCTGCACGCCCCACACTGGGGATCAAGCTTGCAACCCATGCATGTGCCCTGACTGGGAATCAAACTGTGGTTCATAGATCGATGCTCAACCATTGAGCCATGCCGCCGGGAAAAATGCCAACATTTTAAAGACAGGATCAGTGCTATGCTTAGCTATATTAGAGCTTGAGGCAAAAGGAAAAAAAATAAGTAATACTGATTCCATCTTTATTTAACATTTGGCATCATGGATATTTTTGCATTAATTTTTATGTTTTAAATCACCTTGCTCTAGGGCCAGCCCTAAGTGGGAGGTGCTGCTGCTATTAGGTTGCTGGGGGCCAACTAGGATTTTACATCCTGCAATGTGGGAAGGGCAACTGGAACTGGAGAGAATGTTCTACCTAAAATGCCAATTGAGAAACACAGTTTTACTTGATTAAAACTCCTGGCATTGGCCGAATTATGCAAACACCCAAACATAATTTTGCTTGATAACACACCCACCTTCCAAAGACTATTTATTTTATTAATTTCATTTAAATATAAATAAGCACCTATTCACTCACACCAATTAGTTGCAGTCATCATCCCAGCACCTCCACAAGGAAGGAGCAAATCTGGATTTGTTCTTATTCTATAAATGAGGAATTGTTTATAAGAAGTGGGGAACTGTATTAAAGGGCCACGGCGTCAGGAAGGTTGAGAACCACTGCTCCAGGGCTTCCCAACTCTGATGATTTTAAAGGAGGTTTTCTTTATTTTCCCATAGCTAACTAACGGTAATTGTGGCTTAGTCACTGTATCTCTCTGAGCCTCATTTTTCTTGACTGTAATGTGAAGTTTGGCTAGCTGATTACGAACGACATTTTACCACTAGCAGCCTATGCCTATG